ACTTTCTGAGGGACCGGTCCATCCGTGTGGTCATCGATGGTTGCTCGTCGAGTCAAATGACCATCAATGCTGGGGTTCCTCAGGGGTCAGTGCTCTCGGCAACATTGTTCTTGTTGCACATAAACGACCTGCTTAAGCCCGGTACCTTTGGGTATGCAGACGACAGCACTGTTGTTGAGAGTTACACGTCCGGCGCACGAGCTAGTGGGTCACAGATCCAGACTCTTCGAGAGGCTATGGTTGGGCGCTTGAACTTGTCCTTGGAGGCTGTCTCTAAATGGGGCGATGCCAACATGGTCAGGTTCAATGCAGCTAAAACTCAGGCGTGTCTATTTTCCAGTAAAAGGAGTCAATTTAGCCCTGCTCCAACTTTCCGGGGTGTATCAGTGCCGATAACTGACCATCTTGATCTTCTTGGTATAACGCTGACGTCTACTCTCAATTTTGGGCCATACATCGAAGCAAAAGCTCAACTGGCTGCAAAAAAGTTGGGAATCCTCGCAAGGGTTAGACAATACTTCACGCCGGAACAGCTGCTTAAACTTTATCAGGCGCAAGTTCGATCGGTTATGGAGTACTGCTCTCATCTTTGGGACGGATCTGCCCGATACCAACTTGATGCGCTTGAGTCTATTGAGAGGCGAGCCAAGAGGATCATTGGCGATGATGCACTTGTCGAGTCGAGACTTCAAAGTCTTGAGCATCGACGCCGAGTTGCTAGCCTGTCGGTTTTCTACCGGTTGCATTTCGGGGAATGTGCGTTGGAATTACATAATTTAATTCCGCCTAGCCCGTTCCATCATCGGACCACCAGACGTACGGCATTGCGCCACCGGTACATGGTGGATGTCCCACATATACGTACAAAACGTTTTGGGAGCACATTCATCATGCGTACAGCCAAGAAGTGGAATTCCTTGCCGGAGTCGGTGTTTCCTGATAGCTACAATCCGGGTATCTTTAAGTCAAGAGTGAATAGGTTACTTCTAGGTAAGCGCGCTCCATCGTCGACCACATCGTCGCTTTCCATCAGGTGAGATAGCGGTCAAGCGCGAACCTATAATCAACAAAAAAAAAAAAATCCCAAGCAGTCCCGTGGTGTTGCGGGTTTCCTTGAGCGGCACCCATCAGGTAATCCATAAGCTCGTTTCACGACAAATCCCGTAAAAAAATTCTTCTTATCAAAAAAATAAATAAAATTTCTTTGTATAGTACTTTTTTATTAACTACTCATTTTGTTTCAATATAATGTGATTGCCCTAGTAAAATAAAGACTTAAAATAAAAAATAAATAAATTAGACGAGTATAGTATGTCTACGCTTTAAGTAACATAGAATCAATAAATAAAAAAGTAATAAATAAAAAAAAAAATCATATATAAACAAACATAGTCCATTGCCATGGCTTCGCCTGTTTCTCTAACTAAAGAAAAAGAGTATTTTTTTTAAATTGAGTTCGCAAGCTATTAAGTACACTACCTTAACAAATCCTTTATATTATTACTCAGAATATTACAATAAAAAATTGGCGTCTTGACCATCAGAAAATTTTAAATTTTTTTTAACCGATATTTTATCCACATTTTTAAAATAATTTTAAATGGGATTTTGTGTTTCGATGATATAGATATTTATCTACAAAAACAACTTCTTTCTTGAAAATTTGCTAGGACATTAGGAGTATTGAGTATATAATATATATATATACTAGCTCTTACCCGCGGCGTCGCTCCCGTCATTTGACCACCTACCCTACTCTACCTAACCTACCTACCCTAATCTACTTACCCTAGTCTACCTACCCTACTCTACCTACCCTACTCTACAGAACCTACTCTACCTTCCCTACTCTACCTACCCTACTCTTCCTACTCTACTCTACCTTGCTCTACCTACCCTACTCTACCTACCCTACTCTACCTAACCTACTCTACCTACCCTACTCTACCAACCCTACTCTACCTACCCTACTCTACCTACCCTACTCTACAGAACCTACTCTACCTTCCCTACTCTACCTACCCTACTCTTCCTACTCTACTCTACCTTGCTCTACCTACCCTACTCTACATACCCTACTCTACCTTCACTACTCTACCTACCCTACTCTACCTACCCTACTCTACCTAACCTACTTTACCTACCCTACTCTACCAACCCTACTCTACCTACCCCACTCTACCTACCCTACTCTACCTAACCTACTCTACCTAACCTACTCTACCTAACCTACTCTATCCTATCCCTATCCTATGTCCTTCTCCTTGCTCTAAACTACCTCCCTGCCAATTTTCAGCTAAATCGGTTCAGCCGTTCTTGAGTTATAAGTGGAGTAACTAACACGACTTTCTTTTATATATATAGATATATATACATTTTGGTCAAAAATCAAAATTAAATCACTGCTGCCAATCCCTTATTGCCTCATAGTTTTAATGAGTGCATTAATTAAATTACACTAAGTGGCATAATAACATTGAAAACTTTTATAATTATTGTACATGGTTTCAGAGTGTACTCGACGCCACAAGCCGCTAATTATAGGCTCCATTACAACATGAAACGTATGGCGCTAATCTGAATTTATTGTAGGAATAAAATAAACTTAAGTAATTTCTTTCATGTGCTGCTTTAAATATTCCTCGTTAAAATATCACTTTTGCTTGAAAACTAACTAATTGCTACACGGTTTCACTCTGCTGCTCAACGCCTGTTGTTTGTAGCGTGATGATTTAGGCAGTAGTAGTATTCAGTAGATGTTATATTGAACACAAAGTAGATTTTCAATTCGTGCCAGCCGTTTCTGAGAATAACACGCTCAAACAAACAAACCAAACTAAAATGAATAATAGGTAATTGAACTAAACGAATTTGTATTTTATAGGTATAATCATAAGTTATTTATTTTTATTATAACTTTCGTGAGACATTCTAAATTATTTATTATGTTTTCGGCTTACTCACGTAATAATTTGACGAGATACTCGACTAGTTTCAAGCCATGCTAGTGGCCCATATTCATGAGCAGCATTCCGCGACACGCGACTCGGCGACCGTCGCGCTGCTACTGATACGATGATGATACTGATAATCATAAGATTCTCATCTTTCAAATTCAGTGTGCAGGAGTTTCAAAGTTTTTATACATATAGCTTGTTTCACGATAGTCTACATTATTATGTATGTAAAAAATTAAGGTAAGAGAGAGGAAATATATACTCGTTTACCTAGGAATTCCTTAAAAGGGTATATTGAATTGGAGATGAGAAAGAGCTTTTTTCTTTTGAAGAGAGCCAGTCATCAAATGTCTTTTCTCGCCCAGGATAAAGTGAAACGGGGTGTCAGACTCTTACTGGCTAAAAATCCCCCTGTTCGCTTTTGCTCCAGGCTTGTTTTGTTAGGGGAAAATCATTAAATGACTTCTCCCGTCCAGTGTGGGGTAAAAGGGTGTGTTGGACTGACTAAAAACCCCTCTTGCCCCAGGTTGAGAGCGCGATACCTTATTGCAATTCACCCGCAACTCGGCTGAACATTGGCTCTATTGAGCCCCATCTGTGATGGTCTGATAAGAAGGACCCTATCTATACTGATACCTATTATAAAGAGTTAAAATTTGTAAGTTTGTATGTAGGGGGTAATCTTTAGACCGCTGGTCGGATTGCCAAAATTCTTTCACTGATAGATAGCTACAATGTTCCTGAGTACTATAGGCTACAAAACATCACGCTACGATTAAATGGAGCTGAGCAGCGGGGGAAACCGCGCGAGAGTAAAAAAAGTGCTTGCCCTGAAACATGTAGCCCCAGAATTTGGAATACAGACAAACAGACAGTACTATTGTAATTATTGTAAATAGATAATGTAATAAAGAAAGTGGAACTATTCGTATTTTATGTGAAAATAAATACAACTACAAAAACTGACTAATATCTACATACTTATACATATATTAGCATATCGTTTGCAGTGGTAGTGGTTTCCTGCAACAGTGAGCCGTATGTTCGACTTAGGTGCTAGACACTTGTTTAATTGCATTAATTGCACAAGGAATTAACTTATATTACAACAGTTAAAAGTAACATTCTTAAACCACAGATAACTTCAACTGATAACTTGAAAATGTAAGTGATGTAGTTTTAATTTTATAAGATAGATACATGTTCACGATTGAAATGAAGTAACTACGATTTAACATACTGTTATACGAACGTTACATTACGTATACACGTTACGTACAATTGTATTTTATATATTTTTGATGTAACAGGTCGGACGGATAACCTGATGATAAGCGATCTGCGCACTTATACCCGCAACACCCTAGGCGTTTCAAGTTTACTATCCGCCTTTTAAGGATTAGAGATTGGTTTTGTGAAGATAGGGGACAAAATAGGGCCCCAGGTAACCTCAATCACACGGTTGAGGTCTCTTGTTTTACTACAGTACCTATTTTTTGAAGCATCGGACTCCGGTCGAGCCAATAATCTCATGCCAAAACATGATTCTTTTAGTATGAATTGGCCGACCTTTTCTATACTAATATTATAATAAGTTAACATTTGTAAGTTTGTATGTAGGGGGTAATCTTTGGAACCGCTGGTCGGATTACCAAAAGTCTTTCACTAATAGATAGCTACAATGCATGCTCCCGAGTGCTATAGGCTATAAAACATCATGCTACAATCAAATGGAGTCGAGCAGCAAGTGAGACCGCGCGGGAGTAGCCAGTATACAATAAATTAATACAAATTGATAAGTAAATATGTCATTAATATTGTTATTCCTAGATTATTCTATGTTGAGTGAGTGAATGTAATAGATGCTATCTATTAAATATAAGTAAGTACGTATCTAAAGGAAGTCAATGTTCTCAATAGATTAACAGTACCTTCAAATGCATTTAATTTTGAATCTATTGGTATATTCCTTCATTCATTATTACCTTTCTTCCAAAAATGTCTATATAGCTTGTATCCCTTGTTGTAGCTCACAGCAGCACCATGGGAGCCACTACATCTATGGAGCTCATTAAAATTGCTCAGGTCCCGATAGCATTGCTGTCCATCACCGGGTTGGACGGCATCCTCTGGCCCACGCAGACGCTGCTGCAAGGTTTGTATCTGCACTTTCTGATGTCAAAGTCCTTTATTTCAAAATCGTTTGTCAAAATCATTTAACACACATAATAATAAAACTGTATATATGTATGTATTTTGTGAAGTGGAATCTCACAACTAAATATTAAAGCAGACATCTTCAATCTCTCCTTAATCCCTCCCCAATCCCTAAACTTCCTAAACCCTTTTTCCCAAAAACAGCATCGTCTTATAACTCCTCTGACGTTGTGGTTATCTATAATCACATAGGTATATATTTTCTTGGAGGCTCAATCTTGTATCTCAACCCTGGCTTGGAACAAGAATAGAACAGGGTTGTTTTTGGTCAGTAAGGGTCTGAAATTCCCTCTCGCCCCTCCTTTACTACAAAAATGTACATTAATATTTAAACAGCCTACTATTAATAATTAAGTGAAATACATTATACATTTAAGCTAAAATGTGAGATACGTGTACTTATTTCCTTATATTTCAATGTCTAATAAGAAACTAAATAAATAAATAATGACTTTTAATTTTCTCCGAATCTGAAACCTCACCGACGTCAGAATAAGCTTAACAATTCTAAAAATGTCCATAGTTGCTAAGCGTATAATATACTCGATATTAAAAATTTACTCGTTTCACATTTTCCTTAAATATCTACACATCAAAGTTGTAATACTTACTACATGATATAATATATTATAATGTAATAAGATAATACATATTGTTGTGGATTTACTTGTATCTTCTTTTAGATAAAGGTTTAAGACTTAGTTAGCATATAACACTATTTTCTATTACAGAGAACTAGACTCTCAAAGGGAGATTCAAAATTGTTAAAAATGTATAAGTTTGTGAGCAAATATGTTTGATGCTTATTTAAAAAAATACCTGATGAAGTAAGTTCTCAGCGCCGCCCTTGGGCGCCCTTCATACCAGATGCCATTTTAGATGGAGTACGCTCGTTTCTTAACGCTTTGAAGGTAGTATTGGTTCAAAAATACTGTCGTTGAATGATCATTCCAAACCTTTGTTAATCACTTGAAAGTTCGGCAAACGAGCAGATAGATTACCTGATGGTAAGCAATCAACGCTGCCCATAGACACGTAACAACTGAGGAGTTACGAGTGTGTTGCCGGCCTTTAATGGATTAGGGTTTTGAAAATTGGGTTTTGGGATTGGGGATGAGGAAGGATTGGGTCTCTGGTAACCACACGCTGTCGTTTTTTCAGCTTTTCTGTGAAGTTCGTCGAGTCGAACCGATCCATTCATGCCGAATCTTGCCTCTCTTACACGTTTAAAGTTATGATGATCATTCAGATAGTAGTCTGTAGATTATAGTCTAGGATAACACATGGGGTACTTTATCCAGGAACGCGGCCGAAGAAACTAACAGAAAGAAAGAAAGAAAGAAAAGAAAGAAAGAAAACCGTTTTTATTCGGACCGAGACATGAAGGCCAAGAACAAACAAAAAAATACAACAATAAAAAAATACAAAACAATAAAAGTTTAAAGTAACAGGACAACAAAATAAAATAAAAATAAAATTAATCAAAACAATAACGTGAAAACAGCCTAAAAAATACATTAATACAACCCTGGGTTGGCGGACATGCCCAATCCGAATGGGTCGCCAACTCAGCAAAAGCTGGGCACGGAGCACCCAACACTGATTTTCAGTTGGCACCCCTGCAGTGACGCACGGACGAATGCAACACATACTATCTACTAGTTAATAGTAATTAGAGCATTTTAATCTGCATTATGACAAAATATCTTAGTTTTAAGACTTGCGGGCTCTAGTGATCAGTCCAGGGGAAAATAAAAGAAACGAGATAGATAAGAATATTATAATACTAAAATATAATTAAATAGTGATATGTTAAATATAAATTATTTTTTAAGATTACTTTTTACATGTTCAATAGTATATATATTTTTTTAATATAGGTAAATATATGTCATAATTTAATGTTGGTACTTGAAAAATAATACACCATAAAATCGCAACAATAATCTTGGAAGTTGCGGGTGAGCAGGGTGTCGCATTGTTACTTAAATACTGCTGCACAGTTTAACGCTCATTTGCACCATAACTACGCGCACCATCACTACGATGGTATTGAGTTACTATTGAGGGAAAAACCAGAATTATGCGTGACGTGAAACTGAACAAATGCTATGATAATCGGCGATCAACTCTCGCAACAAAACTCGAGCGGTGACGGTGAGTATTTTATTTATTAAATAAATATAATTATGTGAATATAATAGTGAGGAGTAGGTATAGAAAAAATATTTTTTAGTAATATGTGATTGCAGATATTTATTTGTAAATTAATGATAGTGTTAATAAATAATACAAAAGTAAACATTAAATAAAAGACAGGTCAATATTTATTTCGGCGCTATTGATTTGAGAAGTTAGCACAAACTCTTTGAGCTTTCTTCTGAAAGTACCTATACTTTGCAAATTCCTAATAGGCGGGGGGATATTGTTCCAGCACTTTGACGCCGCATACCTGAAACTACCTCTAAACGCAGCGGTTTTATGCTGCGGTATAGCCAGCTGCTGCGCACAACGCCTACCCTCTCGCTGGCGATGTGCATTCACCCACGAGAGCTTCGAGTAGAGGTATGACGGGCATTTACTTCTTATGACACCAAAGAGGAGACAGGCTAGATGAAGCTTACGACGTGACTTCATTTTTAACAGATTGTGTTTATTTAAATAAGGGGTAATGTGACCTCTTGGTGGTATTTTGAAGCAAAAACGCGCACAAGCATTTTGAACTCTCTGTATCACTCGTTTGGTTCGCGATAGGAGTCTAGGGCCAATAACCGTGTCCGCGTAATTTAATTTCGATAGCACCAGAGACTCAGCCAACTGCACACGCAACTCCTCACATAAGTATGCTCGCATCTTATACAGTACTTTTAGACGGTAAAAGCAACTTCTGACGCAATTTGAGACATATGATTCGAACCTAAGGCCCTGATCCATAACCAAACCCAAATTTTTTGCCTCAAAAACACGTTCGACGATTTGGCCCTTGAGCAACAAGTTAGCGTTGCTCGCAGGAATCCTGTGCAATTGAGCATTTGTTCCAAACAGCATATATTTGGACTTGGATGGGTTGAGAATGAGACAATTACCACTCGACCAATCAAAAATTCTGTCAAGATCCTCAGTAATGAGCTTAACCGCATTATCGTACTCTTCCGGTCTGAAAGAGAAATAAATTTGGAGATCGTCGGCGTAGATGTGAAATTTGCAATTATTAATTACATTACTAATATCCGCACAGTACAATATGAACAGTGTCGGTCCCAAAATTGATCCCTGGGGCACCCCCTTAGTCACGGGTTTCACACGCGATCTCAGAGTGGAACCATTCGCATCACGGACCTCAACAAACTGGGCACGATCACTGAGATAGCTGTTGAACCATTTGATCGTCGAAATGTCGAAACCGTAATACGCCATCTTGGAGAGCAGTAAGGATAAGTTGATGGCGTCAAAAGCCCTCGAAAAGTCCAACAGGACTAACATAGTGCACAAACCTTCGTCCTGTGCTGACAATATATTGTCAGTGACGTCCAATAAAGCCGTTGCCGTACTACGACCCCTTCTAAAGCCCGACTGCACCTCCGGCAGAGCACCGCTATTCTCGAGAAATTTAGTCAACTGCTCATTCACCACCCTTTCCAGTACCTTCGATAATAGCGGTAAAATACTAATAGGCCTCAGGTCTTTGAGATCGCGGGGGTTGCCTGTTTTGGGTAACGGACGCACGATTGCAAGCTTCCAAACCTCTGGAAAGGTCGACGTTATAATAGAATTATTAACAATATTGGTTAATATGTCAAGAGTCTGCGGAACAGTCATTAAAAACATTTTTAATGTAATGTGATCACAACCTTCAGCATTAGATTTAAGATTAGTCAATATGTTCAAAATTTTACTACTGTTCGTGGTTTTGAGGGTGAAAGTATAATCTGATAATTTATGAAATTCAAAATAAGTGAGATATGATAATGGTACGTTAGTTTCGCCGGGTACATGCAAGAAATTGTCGTTGATTTTATCTGGATCGTTAAAATGTGGAGGTAGATCCATATTATTATTAGCTGGTAGCAAAGTGGTTTTCAAATTTTTCCAGAGGATTTTAGGTTGATTTATATAGGTATTGATGTTGACCTTATAGTAAGCAACTTTTTCATAATAAATGGATTTATTCACCAAACTCTTCAGATCCAAGTAATATTGTTTTTTATTACTTAGGGATTTATTTTCCAAATAACGTCTGTACGCCTTATCTCGAAGGTTCATCATGAACTTAATGTTGTCCGTGATCCAAGGGGGAGATTTTTCTCTTATTGTAACAGTCTTACGGGGTGCAAATGAATCAAATACTTTTAATAGATTGTTGCAAAGATACTGAACCATAACGTTGACGTCACGCGAAGCCACGGGCTCCTGCCAGTTGATCGAGTTCAGTGATTTTGTGAACCCAGCCGGATTGATATTTTTGATATTCCTACAAGTTATTGTCCAAGGTCGAATCTTGTCTTTTTTAAATTGGAAACTTGTGGAAATAAAAGAATGTGCCCCGAGTGATTCGATCTGATCCACTGTGATGCTGGCGACTTTTGCGTCCGTACATACCAAATCGATAAGGGACGAGCTGTTACTTGTAAAGTGTGTAGGCGCAGTTACCAACTGAGTCAGATTCAGACAATTTAAAAACGTTCGCAACTTACACACCTTTGTGTCAGATGCGGACACATTCAAGCAATTTATATTAAAGTCCCCTAACAGTACTGTACGGCTGCAAAATGATAACGAGTTGACAGAACTCGTTAATGCATCAAAAAAAGTGTCAACATCAAGCCAAGGTGGCCTGTATGCCGTACCTACTGCGAGTTTGGAGCCATTTACATTTAGTACCAACCACATTTGTTCAACGGATGCGTGCGCAGGGTCAGCAGGGTGGGAATGCGTCCGCACATTCAAACCGCGTCTAATGTAAAAGCCGACGCCGCCGCCGCGGCCGCCGCGCACGCTCAGCGGGCGCGGGACATGCCGCAGCCGATAGCCGGGAACTGACGGCGCGCGACCCTCCTCCCCCGCGCTGAGCCAAGTCTCATTAATGGCCATGATATCTACGCTATAGCGCTCCATCGCAGCTATGAATTCGTCATGCTTTGTACCTAATGACCCGGCGTTAAAAAGTCCAACTCTAAAGAGTTTCGAGGTCATATAAGTGTGGTTGAGTTAGCAAGGACAAGAAACATATACGAGTGTGCAAAATAAACGTAAACAAAATCAATATAGTAATATAGCCGTTCCTCTATACATCTGTAAATAGAATACATAAATGTGAGTAGAATGTAATATAAATAATGTATAGTGTATAGTTTAAATAAAATATAGATTTTATTCGAGAGAGAATCAACCAGGGACCGAACCCCATTTGCGCCACTGCAAGCTGTACCAACCACGAAACATACATACATCGCGGACATCACACATAACAAACAAAATAAAACATATTTTACATTTATGACATTAATATATGCTATCACCGAGATGTAAACAAAGTGCAAGGTAGATAGCGAGTTACACATAAAAATATTTAAAGGGTAAATTGAAAATAAAATATTTGCAAAGTATTTATTGATACCGTCAAGGATTAAACATGACCCTCCCCAAAAAAAATTTTTTTTACATCGGTCTCCGACCGAACGCGAAGAGCGGAGACGCCGTCTTCTTTCCGCACATATATGCGTCCCTCTTTAGTCCACACATACTTAAATTGTTGACGCTGCGCAGCCTCACGAGTGTTCCGAAAGAGCCTTGCGTTAGAGCGAGTCAGACTCTCGTTAACGAAGACCCTCTGTGGTTGGCCGGGCAGGTCGAGGTCCGCAGTGGTGAGCCCGCGTCGCACGCGCGCCGCGCGAATCAGTTGGTCTCGCACCGCTCGGCGAGACAGGCGCACGGCAATGACGCGCGGACGCGGACGCTCCGTTATGTCAGATTGGGATGCACTAGTGACAAAGTTGCGCCGTACCATTCCAAGACGCTCGACATTCACTATGTCCCTATCGTCGAGTGCAATCCCCAGCTTCAGGGACACTGCCTTTACTAACAGAAGCTAATATATTAATAAAAATCCTTTTCACGCATGTATGGTGGAAAATAGGTATGGGAGAGCCAAGCTTTGGCACTAATAGACGGGTCGACGGTAGTGATACTATAGCCTCACAGAAAACAACCGCAATGGTGTGAAACAACCACAATGTTGTGTTTCACAGTGTGAGTGAGGTAACCGAGAGGTTACCGGATGGCCAAATCCTCGTCTCCCTCTCGCCATCCCTTCCCAACCCATAAATATACTACTACTACTCTTAACTCCTTTGGTGTTACGACTGTCCATGGGCGGCGCTGATTGCTTACCATCGGGTAATAGGTCTGCTCGTTTGTCGACCTATCACATAAAAAATGGTTACAGATAATGCAATTTACGACTATATCGTGGTGGGCGCCGGCTCGGCAGGTTGTGTAGTCACCAGAAGACTCGCTGAGGATGGAAACAACTCCGTGCTGGTACTAGAGGCTGGAGACGATCCTCCTATCACTGCTATGGTACGTATTTATTTGATTTACAAACAGAAAGGAACCTAATGCTTATGTATTTAAATAGCCCTTCATAAATATTGTTCAGTATTTTTTTATTTTTATTTTTTTAAACTGCCCCACTATAGGATTTTCTCCTGTGTCGTAGCTGCGGTGACAAACATACAATTTCACATACACATGACACCCAGACCCGGAACAACAATTTGTGGATCACACAAAGAGTTGTTTCGTGCGAGATGCCTAGCCATCGCATCAACCATGCAGTCAAGTTATTGGCTAGAAGTGCTGTTTTATGACGTATTTACAAAAATCAATATTCATTGTTTTAATTCTCGTAGCACCTAGCTTCATTGACGAACATACTGACCTGACTCACTGCGTTTCTGTGATTTATTTGGAATAAATGGTTTTTACTTTGACTTTGACCTAGTCTTTGTTCTCGAAAAAGTAGATCAAAATATCTGCAGCTACCATTTGTACCTACAAGAGACAATGACTATCAACGTATTATCCAAAGTTTTTTGGAAATCGAAAACACAATAATAATTTTAAGAGTCTCCAAAAGAAATTCAACAGATAACGTAATTTGGTTCGAACCTCACATTACCCAGCATCACCAAAAAAACCCAAATAATTCAGCCAACGTTGCAGTTCCCTGACCAATTACGTGGCACGTCAAACTGTCGCGTGGAACATCAAACAGTGAGTGCGTCACTATGATTGACAGGCGTTTAGTTCACACCTACCGCGCTCTGTCGGATAGGCGGTGGAAACCACTAGAGGACTCCGCAAATACGTGTTACATTTTACATTGTTACAATGATATGGACTAGTTTTGTATAAGGTGAGCTGGCCGATTACCCGGTGGTAAGCAATCAAAACTATATACTAATCAGCCCATTAATGCCTAAGATTTACGAGTGTCTTGCTGGTCTTCGGGATTAAGGTTTCGGATTTAGAGTTTGGGGGAGGGCCTTCTTCATACGGGGAAACACAACGCCATGTTTGTTTCACGTCAGTTTTCTGTGAAGTAGTGGTAGCGCTCGAGTCGAGTTAAATCATTTGTGCCATGGCATTTTCATGCTTGTAAAGTGCAGTCAAGCTACGGAAAACTTCTAATGCGCTTAGTTTTAACGGCCATTCCCAAACTAAGGTCACTAGAAATTTAGTCTCTATTTAATTTTTAATAGCTTAGTCAGCCCTTACTACACCCGCCCGGATATTGAAGAATGATGATAATTCTATCCTAGTCAGTCGTCAACATACAGCCAATAATAATAGCAGAGCCCTATAATTTCAGATAGCTGGAACATTCGACTTACTGCCGGGATCGTACGTGGACTACAACTACAAATCCACTCGAGATGAGTACGCGGCTCGCAGCCAGAACAACTACACGATGCTCACTGCAGGGAAAATGTTGGGTGGAAGCGATTCACTGAACCACTTCATCCACACCAGAGGAACGAAATATGAGTACAATTGCTGGGCCAAAAAAACCAAAGATGATTCCTGGAGATATGAAAACATACTTCCTTACTTCAAAAAAAGCGAAAAGGTAGATGATCCTGAAATATTACAAGCATATGGTGAATATCATGGCGTACATGGTCCTATGGGTATTACACGACAACCGGAAAATGACACAGTCGGTGATTTATTAAAAGCTTTCGCTGAAGTTGGTAACCCAACAGTATTGGACCTAAATGCAAACGTTTATGTCGGTTATACGCAACCACAGTACATGTTTGCTGATAGAAAACGACAGACGCCGGCGTACACATACCTCAGACCAATCAAAGATTACTCAAATCTACACGTTTCTAAAAACACGCGAGTCACGAAGATCATTTTTGATGGTAAGGTAGCAGTCGGCGTAGAGGCGGTGTTTAAAGGCAAAACATACAAACTCAGAGCTAAAAAAGAGATAATAGTAAGCGCAGGAGTATACAATACTCCCCAACTACTCATGCTATCTGGGATTGGTCATAGAAAACATTTGAAGTCCTTTAACATCGATTTAGTTCAAGATCTGCCTGTAGGAGATAACCTAGTAGACCAGGTCGCAGTCGCGTTAGTTCACAAATTGAAGAAACACCCGATACCTATCCCTGCCATACCCAATGACTTGACAAAAATACCTTTCCCTGTTTTCGTCGGATCAGCGGCTGTGAACAAAACGAAAAAAATTCCAGATTACCAAACGTTCAACCTGTTCTTCGGCCACGATTTATCGTATTTGACTATTGCTTGCGCTCAAGTGTTTGGTCTGCGGAACGAAATATGTGACAGATGGCAGAAACAAGTCGAATCTAGAGATTCGTTGTACACCGCGCTGACCCTACTACAACCAAAATCAAGGGGCACGGTGCGTTTAGCAAGCAGTAATCCAATGGATAATCCAAGTATTACTACTGATTACTTTACTAATGAGGAAGACTTGAAGCGCATGGTGTCGTATGTAAAAGACTTCGCTTCTGTTGGTAAGAGCGCATATTTTAAAGAAATTGGAGCCGAATTAGTAGGTCTCAATCTTCCGGAGTGTGCTGATAAGAAGGCTGGTAGTGACGAGTATTGGACATGTTACGTACTGAATCACGCTAGCAGTGTCTACCATATGACCAGCACTTGTCCCATGGGAACAGTGGTAGACAGTCAATTGATGGTGAAAGGTGTGGATAAGTTAAGAGTGGTTGATGCTAGTGTGATGCCTCGCATCCCTCGAGCTGCTCCTAATGCTGCCATCATCATGTTGGCTGAGAAAGCAAGTGATATGATCAAGAGTGCTAACCAATGAATTATATGTTTATTAATCAAAACCTACATTTTATTTATAATATATTAACAAATTACAAGCACATTTTATAGTAGTGATTTAAAAAATATTTATAAAGTAAAAGTAACTTATTTCATTTACCATTATTTGTGATCAAACTTTGAAAAACCGTTTGTTTATCACCAAAAAAGACCAAATATTGTAATTTGCCGAAAAGCCTCCAAAAACGCAACTAGATGGCGTTGGCGTCGAATAAGATCGCGCTAGCGCTTGGTTCATACGACACAACTATAGAACAGTGTCCAGCTTTATTTCGATTACGTAAAGCCTACTCGTATACCCACTAAGTTCAGTATCTGTTCAACTCTTAAGTACTGGGCCGCTCGCGGTGTTCAGTAGGGTAATTTCCTAGGTCAAAAATAAATTAATTCGACGTTTCGATACAATAAAATATTGAAAAATAACTATTCTTTTACGTTTGTGCATCGATCGAATGATACACAAAATTTTAGATATTTTGTAGCTAATTATTAAGAAATAAGTACGCTATTTGACGCACAAATACTATGACGTCATAACTCAGTGTTTCATACAAATTTCATAGAAAATTATCGTTTTTGAAATTTGGATAAAAGTAATTAATTTGACTAGTTGGAAACTACCTATTGATGCTGTACTATGGACTTTTACTCATCTATACTAATATACTAAAACTAATAATATTGTAAAGAGGTAAAATTTTAAGTTTGTATGTAGGGTGTAATCTTCAGAACCGCTGGTCGGATTGCCAAAATTCTTGCACTGATAGATAGCAACAATGTTCCGGAATGCTATAGGCTATAAAACATTACGCTACGATTATTATATTATACGATTAGTATATTTACAGAAAAAAATAAAAGCAAGACTACCGAAACCTTTGGTCTTTTTATATGTTATCAGAGACTGGAAAAGATTTGAATAAATATCACTCGAAGGCCTAAAAACATATTTGTAAATATATCCTTGGGAGATAATAGTGTTAGGAAACTATTTTTCATTAAGAAACTGTAATCACAAAGTTGTGAGTACAACAGTCGGAGGGCTCAAATGGGCATCGCACCCCAAGTAACTCGGTGACTGAGATTCCATCAACAAGTTGTGATTTGACAAAGCAATTTATATTCCATCTTGAATTTGGGAGTTCATTGCCAAAACTATAACTAGTAGGGAATTACTTCAGTCCGTGTTTATATGTTGGTGTATAGTTTGTGAGGGAAGGGATCAAGGTACTGATTACTGGCGGTTTTGCTTTTCTAACATTCGTGAAATATGTTATTAAGTACATACTGGTCAACCTGGTCCTAAATCTTAGCCAACCAATCACGTCAAGTCAGGATTTTTTACTACAAAGTACTAAAAAACAGTAGTACTAAAAAGTACAGTTCAGTTGTTGTACAGCGTTGCTGGTTTTAGGGATAAGGTTTTCGTATATTTAAGGATTAGGAAGGGATGGGGGAGGTGGAGGATTGGGCCTCCGGTAACGTCTCTCACACAGCGAAACGCAACTGTGGTTATTTCACGTCGGTTTTCTAGGAGGCCGTGGAATCACTCCGGTTGAGCCAATCAAGTCATGCTGAAGCTTGACTATTCCACACTTAAACAATGTTGAAACAAATTATATTTCTTTAGTATTTCTACTGAATTGGAATTTTCCAGAATATTGTTTAGTGTCTCAAAAGTCACATTTTAATCTCAGAACACCTTATCTTAAACATTAATTTAAATCCTCGCTGCATTTCAGGAAAGAGGGGGCCCTCCTTGCAGAGTAACGTATAGTTCTCATCATTTGCTCCTAAAGCCGTGACCTTGGGTGGAAGGAGATTAATGGCCCCTAACTGTTCGACCTTTATTATAGTCAGGGTGGACAGGCCAATATACAGAGCGGACTGATGCCTGTACTTAATATAGTATGAGGAAAGACTCGTGATTTTAATTTATAGTTATTTATCTATAAGTTAATAGTAGGTAAAATAATTATTACCTAATTGTAACTTTTAAGGTTCTGTAGTTACAAGTCTAAAGAATATAAAATGAATCTGGCCATTCGTCTTTTTCTATAATTATTAGAACAATTTTTTTTTAATTTGGTTTTTTACATATAGTATGTATATGGAAACGAGTTCTGTGAATCGTTAGTTAGTTCAGCAGCATTGTGGGCCCTATTAGGCCACTTTTTAACCCTACTCAAACTTAAGGTTAGGAATATGAATGGGGATAAGGGGAAGCGTAGGATTGAGTTACAGTTAATCTCAAATAAACAATGATTGCGTTGTATCACGCCGGTTCTCTGTGCGGCTTTGGTATCACTACAGTCAAACCTACCAATTTGTGGCGAAGCATGATACTTCCATACTTATTTTAAAATATTCCTTTTATAGATAATAGTGAGGTAGTGGTCATGAAAGAAAACAATGAAATAAAATTCTCACTAACCTACAAGCTTCTGTAATGGAGACTGAACTCAATACTAACATCATATTTTACGTGGTCGTGGTAGCCCCGAGATTAAGGAGCCCGCTTCTCATGCATGAACCCTCATGGTGGGTTGGAAACCTGGCCAGTACCAATCTGACTTTTTCCGAGTTATATGCACTTTCTATGATTATTTAGACACCACTGAAAACATTGTGAGGAAACCTGGACTTTCTAATTATAAGTTTGAAATCGCCAACCCGCATTGAGCAAGAGTGGTGATTAATGCTCTAACCTTCTCTGTCTGAGAAGAGGCCTTTGCCGAGCAGTGGGAATTTATAGGCTGATGATGATGATGATGATGATATTTTACGTATCAAACCTAGATCTTAATCACCCAGCAGTCGCGTTCTTCGATTATAAACTGAATAACTTGTACATAATATATGTTACACACTAAACATTCCGATGGTATGCAAATAGCCCATACACCGCCTTAGTGTGCCCCCGGCTTAAGCCAAACTATGCCGGAATACTCGAACAAACTTGAACCTGCTACCCTTTGAACCATGTTTCATACTTCGTCCTTTATTATGCCCACAAACACGTTCTACTCATTTCGGGTTAAGTTGCGTGGATTGAGGTCGAGGAATGGATGGGTCACGGGTAAAATAATACAAGTAAGAAACATATAATACAAGTTTAACAATTAATAGTGACAGTTTTTAAACACTTGTGTGACTAAAAGATTTCCGCAAGAGATTCAATTTCCTGATCAACAAACATTTAGGTATTAAGATTTTTCAGTTATTCTTAATTTCTGACTGATATAATTAACTTCGAGGCCAACACAGGGACTCGCTTGGTTAACAGTAAACCTCTTTAGCGGACTGAACTATGACAATCCCCAACTGTAAATTTTTACATTCCAAAAATATGTGACAATTTTCACGAGCGGTGAAATGTTTACCTTTGCCCTAAAATCGTAAAGAATATGTGTCAGCCTATTGCTTTTAACATGAAAAAGATGTTGACATTTCATACAATTTTGAAAACAGATAAGAAGATAATAAAAAACGATTTATTTAGTGCAACAAAGGACACAAAACACAATTCTAATGAAAAACAAGAGGGCTGTGAAATTATAGAATAAGCATAAATAAAAAACATTTCCCTATATTGTAAACTTCGAATAAATAAGTAGACAATATTAGTTATACTACGGAAAATGATACCAAGGGAAATAATACAATTTCCCGGAACCTTAAAGGTTAGAGACCACAGATAGACAACAAGATTATATATTTACATAATATATTTTCCAAGAAAAATATCGCACTTTATAACAATCATCTTCAGCCAGTTTCCCCAGCTGTCCGGTACAAGACTGCCCCTAATTTAAGGGCCCTTCCCCCCCCCCTGGATCTTATTTATCGTGCGAATGCATTTCGGATTCCCGTGATTATGCAAATGGCCCTGAGGGCGATGTCTAAGTATATTTTAACATCCCCTAATGTTGAGGCACGATGCTAGCTATTAATCTGCCGTGACTTGGCTTCCTGGCGTTCGTTAATTGTACGAAATTATGATAAACTGCGGCTTGGATTTTTGTCAGATCGCCGATAAAACAATTTACAAATGACTTTACAGATCTGTGACGTTTGCGCGTGATCAAACACAGATACAAAATCCAATCCACCGTACAACTGTTGGGCTGGAGCTCACCAGGCATGATCACTTAGCCTGGTCTGAGAATTCTACTTCTTTTGAAATCTTAGGAAACTTCATTGTCGTTTCCCTAAACTAAACGCTAATCTCGAGGATAGGTGATTTTGGGTTATTGTTCTTCTGTGTTAGTTTAATAATTAGAAAGTTATTTTTAAAGAAAATTGGAAGAAGCAATTAAACCTATCAACGCCGTGGCGATTTGTTTACAAAACAAAGATCCACCATCTAACCATCTAGATCGGCTCGACCTGCGTGATACCACGGCCTCACAGAACACCAACGTGAAACATCAACAACGTTTTGTTTCGCCGTGTGAGTGAGGTTACCGGAGGTCCAATCCTTCCCCTCCCCCGATCCCTCCCAATCCCTAATCCCTAAAAGATCGGCAACGCACTCGTAACTCCTCCATGGGCGGCGCTGATTGCTTACCATCAGGTAATCCATCTGCCAGTTTGCCGACCTACTACATAAAAAAATACAGCATTAAAAAAGCAGAGGCAGGCCGCTACACACATAATAAACGTTGATTAATTACAAAGTTTTACAATGTAATACATACGCTACCTATGACAGATACAAGCACTACTAGCTGTTACTGGGAACTACTTTCGTTACGGAAATCAGATTATATTAAGATAGCTTCTTCCTAGAATTGTGACTCGTCCTTTAGGAAATCACTTCTTGCAATCCTAACTGGTAATTTGATTTCTTAGCTAAGTAGTGAGAGTCTAGTTTCTATGAAATTGTAAGATGTAATAGATTTGTTGGTAAACAGATACAGATAGACTATCTTCTTATCTTCTGTCACAAGCCCCTATTTAATGCAAGAACAGGATTTT